GGAATATTTTCAACATGATAATTGCAATTTTTGAAATAATTATAAATGAATAAAATTAGTTTCAAAGTTTCTAGGTTTGTTTCTAGTTATTATTCTCATGTTTAACAGAGTTATTAGCAAAGTTTGTTACATAAACAAGTAATATCTGGGGTCACAAGTGTCTGCAGCTGTTAGTTTGTGGGTCGGAAGCAAAAAAGTTTGAAAACCACTGATCTTGTGGAGAACAGCTTTCACCCTCAGCTGTTAACAATAATGTTTATCAATAATATTTAAAGAACTCAATTAGTGCTTATAAATTTAGCAAGTGCTAATCCACTAATAAATTAAGAAATTAGCAAAAGCCCTAAAGCACTAATCAGGAAATTAKTTCTCCTAATAGTRCTTTAGTGCTTTAGGGGAACTKTGCCCACCACTGCTCTTTACTTTATAAAAACTTCCATTAGTTATTAAACATTACAGGATAAATATTCGTCGTTACGCTGATGATACTCTGAATTATATTGTGAAATAYTTTGTGAATCTTGTGTTTTAATCTGAACAGTTGATTTAAAAACACATTAACCTGTTTTGAGAACGAGTCGTCCACGTCTCCGGTGTCATCTGAACCCTGCTGACCCGTTGGTCCCGGACCCTGTGGCTGCCGCTCATCAAACGAGTACTGAGCCCAAACACAGGACCGGGTTAGAAGACACAAAAGTCTCAGCTGGTTGTCCTGAGCTGTGTCGACGAGGATGTTACCTGCAGCCTCATGTTGGACAGGATGATGCGGCGGGTCATTCTGCTCTCAGAGGCTGAGCTGCGGAGCCTCTCGAACTTCTTGTTCATGCGGTACCGTCTGAAGGCCGTCTGGATGGTCTTCGCTGCCCGCCGGGACACAAACTGTCCCCCGTACTTCCTCTCCAACATCTCCACCTGCAGCATTAAAGCAGAAGCTGAGTAACGCTGGAGGTTTGAGGAGTTTGAGGCTGAGACAGCTCAGAGGACCTTCTTGTCCTGGAGGTCTGTAGAGAGCTCATAGCTGTCAGAAAGAGCCTTGCAGCGTTTGCTCTCCTCCTCCTCTTGCTTGCGGAGCGCCAGGCTGGCCGGCTGATGTCTGCTGCGCTGAGCCCAGGCGAGGCTCGCCGGGCTKGGGGGGGAGATGGGGGAGCTGCCCTGGAGACGGAGAAAAGGCACGCAAAAACTGTCCATAATGCTTTATTTTGTTTTCATTTTCAAGATCTTGGTTTTGTTTTTACAGAGTAAATTCTAACTYGAGTCGGGTCGGTACCTGTGTCTGTGGGTAAGAGGCTCCCAGGGGCCCGCCGGTGGAAACAGGACCGTAGGGGTCAACGGGGCTGGTGAGGGGGCTGTTGCTRTAGCGATGGAAGGGAGGCGGATGGCCAAAGGATGATTCAGAGAAAGTGAGAGCCTCCGGACACTGAGAGTCCCCCTCCACACTGAGACACAAAGTTCAGGTTCAGGAAACAACACAACAAAAACCAGTGGGGCTGCAACTAACGATTATTTTAATAATCGATTTAACGATTCGTTGTTGCAGCCCTAAAAACCAGAGTGTTAAAATTTCAGAGTCAATTTAACTCCCCCTAGAGTTATTTTAACACTTTCTGAGTAAACTGACATCCAGTGTTGGTGTTAATTCAGWGTTGATTTCCTCAGTGTTGTCTCAACACTGGACAGTGTTAAATAAGCTCCGCCCACTGTTAAGTCTTATATAACACTTAACAATGTTGTAATATGACACCATGCAGTGTTGAAAGAAGTATTGCTAAAAAGCCCCGCCCTCTTCCACCTCACATCAGATGGACCAGTGTTTTCACAGCAAGGAATGCTGGGTAATCTTGTAGAAATGATGTTTTTGTGTGTTTATAACTATTAAAGAAGTTCATGAGTGTAAAAAATAGTTGTACTGGTTGTTGCATTAATGTTAATGCAACACTACAAAGAGTTGATTTTAACACTGAAGTGTTAAACTTACACTTTCAAATTTGCTGTAATGACACCTCATTGTGTCTGTTTTACACCCCTCTACACAGMAAAAGTAAATAATCAAAACAAGAGTGTCAAATTAACACTCATAGGAGGTATACRAACCTGCAGTGTTAACATCAGTAACTCAATGCAGTGTTGAAAAGCACGAGAATCAGAGTTGATTTGTCACCACAGTGGACCTTATTAACTCTGCTTAGAATCATAATTACTCTCATCAGTTATTTGACTTGAAGTGTTAAGTTTTATTAACTGTACAATGTTACGTTTTATTAACACTGTGCAGTGTTAGTCAGTGTTAATTTTAACTCTATTTTGAGTAAAACTGTACTCTGAAAATGTAACAGCAATTCAGATAAGGACCAAATAGACTCAAACACAGTGTTAAATTTAACTTTAAGTGTTGATTCAACACTGCAAAATTTACTGTGAAACACTGAGCTGAGTCATGATTGTGGTGTTGAAACAATAAATAAACAATCCTGGGAAACATGGCGTGAAAAAGGAGAGGACAAAAAGAGACAACAGGAAGAGGACAAGTCAGGGGACGAAGGAGGACAAATAATTCACATCAAACCTAAATGTTCAATCTGAATAAACAACAAAAAAATAAACTAAAGATCTCATCGAGCTCGTATCAATCAGATACCAACACTCTTGGTATCGATACGCCCACCACTACCATCTTCATCATCATCATCATCATCATCATCATCATCATCATCATCATCATCAGCTGCCCTCTCTTCTTTCTCCTCGTCTTTCTCTCCAGCTGCCGTCTGTCGGCTGTTAACCAGCTGAAGCTGAGCCAGCTGCAGGGTGGAGCTTGATTTATGACCCGGCCACGCACCGGACCACCCGCTGCAGCCTCCTCTGGCAGAAGGTCCAAGGTCACGCAGTAAACTCCTGGTGACCTTGGCTTTTAAAAAGCAGCCCAGCTGCTGCAGAACCTCAGAYGTTCAGAACAAATCCAGACTAAATAAAACCAGAACAACTGGACCGTTAGTCTGCAGCTCATCGTTTCTCCTCCCGTCACTTCAGGCCTGGAGACTCTGGAGGTCCGAGCTTTAAAGTGCCTGTGACATGCTTATCCTTCAAATACAGAAAGCTCAAAGAAAACATATTTATATTTAAGAAAATCAGCACGATACACACAATTTTACCCATTTTATCTCAGAACTGGTATATTTCCTCTTGAATTTGGCTCAGCAAAGTGAAACAGGAAGTGACATTAAAGGGAAAAAAAGAAATTCTGGTCTTTGTTTRTTGAAACAATCTTATTTAAACTCTTCTTCAACTGATTGTGACTCAAAATAAACTAAAGAAACATCAGATTCTTCTCTAATTATTGTAGCATCGCTCTGTTTACATGCAGACACTCCTCTTTGACATCACTTCCTGTTTCTTCACATGTAAACATCTCAACAACCGTTCATCTCAATGGCGTGAAATTTGTTTTGAAACATGTTTTCAACGTTCTCTTTCCAAAAGCTCATTCACATTTATTACAAAAATTTAACGTCACAGGTACTTTAATCTGCAGATGTTCTTCAGCTGCAGGAAGGATCTGGATCAGTCTGCAGGTCTGAACCGCCTGGTGTCAGAGCTGAGGACCACTCTACTGAAGGTTCTCCACGTTTCCAAGAGTTKATTTAAAATGAACCAAAAAGACCACCTTCACGCTGCAGGGAAACATGTCAACAATGACAAAGGGTTCGGATCAAGAGTCCAGAACCCAAAACACTGAGTTTATCCTGAAAGTAGGAGCAGCAGGACGTTGGTCTGAAAAACATCTGAACTCTGTGAATCTGAGAGGATCAGGAGGACAAACAGAACCTGGTGCAGGTTCTGAACAAAGCTGGTGCCAGCGTCTCAGGCTGACAGGAAGTGAGTGCAGCTGTGGCCCAGCAGCCCGAGACCGGTACCGGTCTGACACCAGGAAGTGAAGAGGAGGAGGAGGAGGAGGAAGGGCAGGACTAAGACCAGATGAGTCATCGTTCTCAGACCTGACAGACAACCTGAATAAAACCACAGGACCACATCAGAAACATTGGTTCTGATTAAATGCTCTGCTCCCAGCAGCCGGACCGAGACCGGATCAAACCAGACCCTCAGAACTCAGGTTCAGGTTTTAGTTCTGTCTCCGTGACTCAGAATTAAAGAAAAAACAATGAAACAGAGAGAAAAAATAAGCCAAAGTAAAAAAAGAAAAACCTTCAGGAAGTCTGGAGAACTGTTGATCAGAACCACCAGAACYGATGACATCACTGATCCCTAAAAACCTCCTCAAATGTGACATCACAGCTTCTCATTTATAATACATTAATCTTAAAAATTACAAAAAAACAGGAGATATATAGAGGACAGAGGACACAGAGGACAGAGGACACAGAGGACAGAGGACACGGAGGACAGGGTGAGACGCTTCAGGACCAACTGAAGTTCTGACCTCTGCAGGTCTGAACATATTAATAACAAACAGTTCAGTTTCTGATGATTGTTACAGATTACATCATCGGACCCAGAACTGTAAAGTAACTAAGTACAAATACTTTGTTACTTAAGTAGAATATTTGGGTATCTGTACTTTACTTGAGTAATTATTTTTCTGCCTACTTTTTACTTCTACTTTTCACATTTTCACACAATTATCTGTACTTTCTACTCACTACATTTTACAAAAGTCAAGAAGTATAAAGTTTTACTTTTATTTCATTTCTGCTTGTTTTCATTGCAGCTTGTTGTTGTAAAAAATAA